GTGGGGGGGGGGGGGGGTTCAGAACTCAAAAAGGGACTATGGGTTTGTAAGATGTCTTTTTCACCCTACTGAACAGTATGATAGTGAAAAGATTTAATGAAGGAATAGACTGATAATTCATTTATGCAAAAGTGAGAGAGAGAGGAAGAAAGACCTGCAGCATGCAGGGCAATTAAGAACATGCTATGAGGGATTAAAAAATAACTAAGGGGTCTTATTTGCCCACCCTGCTCCCTTGCCGGCATGATCCCCCCTTAAATAATCATTTATTGCAAACAACTCTTGGCATTGTGGCCTGCATATAGTAATTGCACTATAAATACTTGAATTGAATTGAATTGGATTAAATATTTATCACATATGCCAAGTATTGTACTGAAATCTCCTCTTGTGCGTTAAATATTACTTCTTCCTCCCAAGACAACCCTGACTCTGGCATCTCTCACTGCTCCAGCTCTGCTAGACTCCTTCATTTGTTTACTGAGCACCTGCTATGTGCCAGGAAAAGTCTCTGCTCTCATGGCGCTTACATTCTAGAGGAAAACACAGATAAATATATAACATAGCATGACGTGTGTTCTGAGGAAAAGGGGATAAGGGAATTGTGTGTGCATGCGTGGGGGGTGTGGAGGAGGATTCTGTTCCAGGTGGTGGTCAGGGAAAGCCTCACAGAGGGTGTGCCGTTTGATCAGAGACCTGATTAGAGGGAGGGAGGGAAGGAGGGAGCCTTGGGGATTTCTGCAGGAAGAACATTCCAAGGTTAGGGAACACCAAGTGCAAAGCCCATTAAGATGCTCAGAATCTAAAAGGTGTGCTTGAAAAGGCCTGAGAGAGAAGGGGAGTGGCGCGGTTGTTTTCAAAGAGGTCCCAGAGCCCAAAGCCTGTAGGACCTCACCTGCCAGGGGCAGTTTTGGTGGCTCTGGCTGCAGTGAAAGGATGGAGCTTTGGAGGGTAGGAGTGGAGGAGGGCACCTAAAAGGAGGCTCTTATGGTCACGACAGTGAGCGCTGACCACGGTTGGGGCTGAGGTGGTAAAGATACAGGTTAGGAGAAATGTGTGGAGTCTGGAAGCATTTTGAAAGTAGACTCAATGGAATATGGAGGGGAGAGTCAAGGAATCTTCCAAAAGTCCCACCTAAGTCTTATTTGGAGTTCTCTGACCTCACCAAGCTGCCCAACCCCGTTTCCAAGCACGTATTCCCTGGGCCTCTGCCGGGCCACTTCCTCGGTCCTTGGACCTGCACTGAATTATTCCTTCTCAGTTGTCTCTTCTCAACCTAGCTCACCTCCTATCATGTTGACCTGCTGCATCCTGGCTCCCAGCACAGCATCTTCCTAATTTCCACAGTGATGAGCCATCTACGATACTCAAAGAGCTGTGCTAACTGTAGGGCAGGGGAGTAAATTAAACCAAAAGAAAGCCTCTGCCCTCCACACATGGAAACAAAGGAAGTAAGGGCTGAAGAGGGGCATGATGGCGGCCCTTCACCTGCAGGCAGAGAAGCCATGACAAGGGAAGGGGAAGCGTCTGGTCTGAACGCTCGTAGCTTGCATCACATGTGTGTGTGTCACATCTTACACTGGAAGGTTGAGGCCCCTCCTGGGTCGGCCTGGAACGGGTTGCACAGTGGGATGTTTTTCGAGACTCCCTCCTGAACCTCCCCACCCTCCTTCCCCGGGGCAGGCAGGTGGTATGCTCAGAAGCCTGCAGGAGCCAGGCTGACTCACAGCGTCAGCAAAGCGTCACAGTTGGGAACAAAGGTCTAGTGTTGCCTTTTTTCCTACTTTTCAAGAAAAACAGGAAATCCAGATTTTCTTCGAATGCTTCCTATTTTTTTTTTCATTGGAAGCTAGCGTTTCAAAATAAATGAAACCCTGTGGGAAAACAACACAAAACTTGTTTGAGGTTAAGATATGGCCAGTGGTTCTATCAGTTGGAGGTCTCCAGACCTATTGTAGCTGTAATCAAAGGCTAATCTAACACCAGAAGGGAGTGGTGGGGAGAGTGACCTCCTCCACCCCATACCTGCCCCACAAAAGGGAACATCTGTAATACCTTCAACAATAAAGATAAATTTTTTAAAAAGACCATAAGTGCTATAAAGATGCAAATGGGGGGAGAGAGGGAGAGAAAGGGGATGGTTAGCCAAGTGGTCTTGTTGAGGGCGAGGCACTTTGTGTAAAGACAGCCTGACACTCAGCGCTCACAGCACGGATGTTAATTGCTCTATTGCACTTTGAAATGCCAAGTGGGAAGAGCAAAGCTCCCCACCTCACAAGCAGCCGCTCAACAATTCTCCTGATAGCTCGCTCTCTTCCTGGTGATTACCCTCCCACGCAGGCGAGGGTCCCCAAGCTGAAGACTAGGAATAGCTCACACAGGATGCCATCTGCCTTTTTTTAAAAAAAAATCGAGTTGACTGTTGTATTTTGAGATCAGGGTGGCAAGGGGGTAAGAGGGTCCCCAAGGCGTCCCCCCCAGGTGGGTGCTGAGAACCTCAGGTGCATCACCTAGTGTTGGAGAAGGGGCTGGACTGCCCCCCTGAACTCTGAAGTCTGGTTTCTCCCAGCGGGAGGAATAAGACTCGTCCTCCCTCCACAAAACCCCGGAGCCATGCTCGCTTGCTCTCCGGCTGACAGAGCACAGCGGGTCTGAGGAAGAAAGCCGGGGTTTGTGCCTCAGACCCGCCTTTACCGTCTCTTAACTCTAGTCAAGTCACTTCCCCTCACTCACCCTCTGCTTCTGCTTCCTAGAAGGAGGTATAACAATAGCCCCTGCCCTCACATCGAGATTGTAAGGATTAAATGAGTTCATATAAAGAAAGAAGTTAGCAAAATACCTGGCCCGCCCTAACCGGTTTGGCTCAGTGGATGGAGTGTCGGCCTGCAGACTCAAGGGTCCCAGGCTCGATTCTGGTCAGGGGCGTAGTCCGCAGGCCGACGCTCTATCCACTGAGCCAAACAGGTTTCGGCAATGGAATATATTTTTTTTAAAAAAAATACCTGGTCCTTGGTAGTCGGTCCTCATTAGCTATTCTCGTCACTAGTTAAGAATCTCACACAGCCCAGGCGCAGGGAGCCAGGAGCCGGAACGTCTGGCCTTAGTCTAGGCTCCACTACCTATGTTGTCTTTTGACCTCGCTGGACCCAACTTTTTTC